CCTGTCTCTGTCTTGTGTTTATCTGGTGTGTCTGTAGCTGAGGAGGATGCAGCAGATGCTCCAGAAGATGCAGCAGCAGATGCATGAACAGGAACTGTGACTCCCCTCTCCCACAGCATCTCTGTCCCTTTATGTCTTTATTTAGATGGCAGTGATCCCTCACCGATGCCATGTTTTTAGGGGTTGAGATGAAAAATTCTTCAGTGTCAACATTTCACCTAATTCTTTAAACTCTGGTCACAAAAAATATAGTAGATGAATGACAGCATGATGTTTTTGCCGTTTGATAAAGTACAGTCATTAGCCAAATGAGTCATGTTAAACAATAGGGAGTAGCTTGCACTTTGTTATCTTTAGACCACAGGCTTAGGGATGGTTAGTTTACTTGAAATGCTCCATGTATGCCCTCAATGAATTAAGTAGTTTATTCACTGATTGTTTGTACTGTACTTGTGGACTGACAAACAGCTGGAACAGCTGCTGGTAATATAATAACAATACTAATAATACTTATTCTGAATGTGGGGTTTTCCTACAATGGTCAGATGATACAGTGAGTGGAACTGAAATGCTGACTGGAGAAACACACTGCTCTTTGAGGTTTAATATCTGCTTAATCAGGCTTAATATAATCAGTGTCCTGATCAGGACTCAGGATCAGGAGTAGTCTAATAACTTATTTCCCATAATACTGAAATTATAATATAAAGTACTTTGTATTTGAGTGGACATGCTGATGTTTTTAAATGGGTTTCTATTAAACCCAGAGATGGTTGGGTGGGGTATTACACATCAAGACTCTTCTGCATTGGCTGAACTTTTCTAACCTGGTGGTGCATCCATCTTTTATATAATGTACAGTTAATAAGCACATTACAGTCTCCTACACGTCTGTCTGCAGTTGTCTTGCATTGTGAATAATCTAGGCATTTATGAGTAGGAAGAGTAACGTGCAACCTAAAAAGATATCAATCCTAAAAAGTCAAAGGGAACCTATTTTGTTTCAGTGCTGTTATAGTGTTCGATGTTCACACAACTGATTTTATTTATTTAAACATGGCCAGAGGCTCACATGAGCTCTGGTTTTGGCTCTGCATGATGTCAGTGAGAGTGGGTCTTCATAATGTGGTCATCTGGCGCACACAGACGTGAGTACAGAACCACCTCCTACCTGGCCTAGCTGTTTGTAGAAAAATAAGTAAAACTGGAAATTAGCAAAATAGGCTCTCTTTAAGGGTTGCCTGGTAAACAAGATAATGCCAAAATGCTTTTTAAATCCATGTATTTAAAGGGGGCATAATATGCAAAATTCAACTTTTTATGCTGTTATTTTTTTTAAGAATATTTGGTATTTCTACAAACCCACACAAAGAAAAATAAAACCATCTTCATGACATTCACAATGAATGATCAGCGTTGGTCTGCAGCATCAAAACAGGTGAAGCAGTTCCACTGTTTGGCAAAAAGATATACCTGAATGAGCCAACAGAGCCACAAGCAGAGCATGCTGTTCATGCAGTCCTCGTAGTTTGTTGTATGTAACAAATGTTACAATTAGTTTAATCAAATACCAAGTGGCCACTACTATAGAGGGGTAGTCATAAATTGACTTTAAGACCAACTTCAATCCAGTAAGACAAAATCACTTGTGGGTTACCAGGTGTATATTTCATGTTGCCTTTTTGCATTTCAGTGCAAGATAGTTTCTGTATTATATACAACAGGACTGTTGCAATATCAGATTTCTATTTCATGATTGCTGTGGTAACAGAAAAGTTGCAATATCTATCATAATAATAACAGTAATGGTAATAATAATTACAGCAATAATACTATCAGTCAGATTCATCTGGAACTTTGTTTTATGTATGCATTTAAAGTCGAAATAAATATACATCGAGCTGATGAGACTTTCACTGAAACTGTACAAAAACAATAAAAAGCCATCATATCAGAGCTCTACACTCTTTTTGCAACATGTTCATCAGAGATTTTACATTATAAGGAAGATATATGGAACCAAAGTTTGGAATACTGAAATCTCCACACAAGATTAAAAATCAGCTTGTATGTATTACCATAAATCATTAACATGTAACTCTAATTTATGACAGATGAACACTGTTTCAGTGTGTTTGGCTGTGTAAAAAGATGAAAACAATATGGGAAAAGGGTCAAAGAAATCCCAACAGAATCAACGCTTTGTTTCTCACCAACAGAATATAGTTATAATAAAAACATATATGTTGGTAAACATCAGTCTTTTCAATCCAAAAAGCTATTGTCGTTATTTAAAAAAATCACAGATCAAATGTTACCTGCAGGATAAGACAAGTGATGGCGAAGCTTCCAGTGCGAGGAATAATATAAACATTAAAGGAAGAAGGCTCCGTCAGAGTACTTCTTTAAACCAAGCGTCTTTGGCTATAAGTCCTCAACTGAGGATTTTATTTTATGCAAATTGTTTTGGATTTAGAGGAACGCTGTGTTGTTTGGCTTTTTGTGTCTGTTGTTCATCAGTTACTTTTTCTGTTTATATGGATCTTTTGACAACTATTTACTACAACTATGATATTGTCATATGTGCAACAATGACACAGTATTTTATTTTTAATTTCATGGTTAAATGGCGACATCCTCACTGTGTAAGAAACATTGATGCTTACCATATTACGGATGTTATTTTATGAACTGTCATGTCAGAGGTTTTGAAAATGCTTTAGAGAATATTTCCTGAATTAAAATTGTTCTACATCCCATATTTGTAACATACTAGCTTTATTATGTGGTGATGATACAGTTTTCTTTATAACATAGCCCTTTTCAGGAACAGCGTAACATAGTGATTTGCAGTATAACAAGGCCATAATAGGTACAAATAAAACAATTCTTTTGTGTACAATTCTTTTGTGTCCGTCTTCTTATTTTACCATGTGTCTGTTATTGCAGACACATGAACTAACCGGCATGCAGTCTGTTTCTGTTTCCGTTGCTCTTTCTCCATACTTTAAACGTTTTCAGCTCAACCAACATCTGGACCCCCTTCGGTTCACTTACCAGCAGTGCTCTGGAGTTAAGGAAACCATCATCTACCTGCTCAATCATGTCTACCTCCATCTAGACCAGCTGGCAAGCACTGTGAGGGTTGTGTTTTTTTACTTTTCCAGTGCATTCAGTACCATCAGGCCTGAAAGCGATGGAGGTACATGCCTCTCACATGTCCTGGATTGTTGATTACCTGACAGGAAAATCACAACATGTGCGCTTTCAGCATTGTGTGTCTCACAAGGTGATCAGCAACATTGGGCGACCACAAGGGACTGTCCTCTCCCCTTTATTATTCTCCCTCTACACCGAGGACTACAGTCGCTGAACAGAGCCCTTCAATCTTCAGAAGTTTTCTGATGAGTGGTTGGATGCATTGGTGACGGTGATGAGACAGAGTACTGGACTGTGGTTTACTGCTTTGTTACATGGTGCGAGCAGAATCATCTGCAGCGTGACAAAGACCAAGGAATCTATTGTGGACATTCGGAGGACCAGGAAACCTGTCACCCTGTTTCAATCCAGGTGGTCGATTTGGACATTGTGGAGGACTATAACTACCTCGGAGTACACACTGATAATAACCTGGACTGAATTTAAAAAACCCTGGACACTGCAGGAAAGGCCAGAGTCCTCTCTATTTTGTGAAGCAGCTGAGGTCTTTTAACATCTGTCAGACAATGTTCAGGATTTTCTATGAGTCTGTTGTGGCCAGAGCCATCCTGCATGCTGTTGCATGCTGGGGAAGCCGGTTGAGGGTCGCAGATGCCAACAGATTCAATAAACTGACCTGCAAGGCCAGTAATGTTATGGGGACGGAGCTGGACTTCCTTACGGTGGTATCGGGGAGGTAAACGCTGTCCAAGATAAGGACAATGCTGGACAATACCTCCCAACCAATTCCTGATGTGCTGGCCCGTCACAGGAGCATGCTCAGTGAGAGACTAAGATTAGTGCACCACTGGACGACATAGGAACCTATTTTGACAAATTGCTGCCCCTCCCTGAGCCTGGTTCTGCCAGAGGTTTGTTCCAGTTTAAATTGAGTTTTCCTTTCCCACTGTTGCCAAAGTGCTTGTCTGAGGGTCATTTGATTGTTTGGGTTTCTCTGTATTATTGTAGGGTCTCCTTACAGTATTAAGTGGCTTTAGATAACTGTTGTTGTGATCTGGTGATATATAAAAGGAAGTGAATTGAACTGAAATTGAAATCCATCAAACAAATTTAGATCCTGAAGATGTTTCTTTGCCATTTAAACTTTCATAACGACATGCACTAAAGTCAGGGTTCATGGATGCTTTTTCATCATTTGTTGCTTCATTGCCAACTTTCTTTTGGCACAAGACGAATGTCCCTTTTATCCAGCTGCTTTAGCAGCTTGTGTCTGGTGCTCATCCTGAGGACACCCACTGAGTAATACCCCGTCCATTTGGATTCAGGCTTAAGTTAGTCACTGATCTCGTCGTCTCATCCAAAAAGAGTAATAGGCGTCGTAAACCAGGCTGGTTATTATTTATACTATTACACTGACCCACTGTTTCTAAGGTCCCGTAAAATGAATTTTAATAATTTGATTTCTTTTAAAATAATGCAAATAATGTTCAAAGACAAAGTTTAAGTTACTCCCAGACTGTGTACAAAGGTTTTTTTCAGTGCAGGAGAGTAAATAATGTAATTTCACTGTATAAAAAGCAAAGAGACTAAATAAAAATATATATTTCTGCTGGGGTTATATATTTTGAGGGTTACATGTGAGAATATTGTAGCTCATCTCTTTGTTGATGAGGTCTAAACATTTATTTTTCATATACAGTTATATACTTTGTCAATGAAAAACTGGTGTGCAGTTAAACTTTCTGTACTACAAATTATCTAAAGTTTAATGGTAAACTGATCTTATTGGTAGACTGTTTGATGGTGCAGGGTAAGGGGCACTACGTCATTAGTTTCAGGTCTTCAGATGAGCTACGCACAGCCCTGTTGGCTGGAGGAAGTATTTCCGTGCTTGTGGGTACAGGTTTCGGCGCGTTTGCAGCCGTCTGATGCGGCGAAATAGTACAAACGGGGTATTTCAGTGGTCCTGTCCACCGATGTGACAGCCTGCCGGAGCTCCGAGTAGAGGCGGGAATGGAGCGGAGCGAGGCGGACGAGAATGAGAGCAGTTCATCCCAACAAAACACGATGTGGAAACAGTTTCAAGCCAAAGCCAAGCCGCTGCTCAGCCCCAAGCTGGGCGCCAGAGAGCCAGAAGACAAGAAGGAGCGAGGCATGTGGATGTTCAAGAAGATGAAGCGGAAGGAAAATGTCGTCCTGGACCGGGTGATCTCCTCCTCGCAGCCCGACCTGCTCTTCTCCTCTCCGGCTGATGTGGACATTAAGGAGGCACAGCTCTGCGGCAAAGCAGTCGGCCGGGACAAGCTGCAGTTTTCGATCAAGCACAAGTCCACCAGCCCAAACAAACCCACGGTGTCTCAGCTGGTGCAGTCCCACCACAAGAGCTCCTCTCTGGGGTCTGCGTGCCTGGAGAGGCTGGCCGAGCCTCCGGACGGCGATGGCGGGGGCGACGCAGCAACAGCTGCCGCAGCGGAGGAGACACATCTGGAGAGCAGTGAGGATCAGCTGGTGAGCTCCTGCCTCGATGATTTGGGTTTTCAAATGAATATATGTCTGAGAGAGCCAGTTCTGTAACTATTAGATTAGCCCTCATTCATACTGACAGGTTAACGATCACAAGTTTTGAGTGTGTGAGCGGAAACAAGCAAGTACATGACAAGATTTGTAACGCGATAAGTGTCAAATGGCATATGCGTCAAAATCTGATAGGTTAACAGATAATGACAAAATAAAAAACTGTTCCGTGATCTCCATTTTACATCACATTACTGTGTTTTAAGTAGTTAAGAGTAGTCATTGTATAAAGTATTTAATTATTGTGTGGTATTCTTATCAGAGAGAGCCCTACCCAGCCAACGTGTGTATATGGGCCCCACCTGGTGTTTGCTTGGGCTGGATGGGTACCATGTGGGCATGGGCTCAAACTGGGCTTTTTGTATGGGGCCTACTTGGGTTTTTCACATTAAACCCATATGGGCAATCCCAAGTGGGCACTTTTAGTAGGTCCTAGCTGGGTCAAACATGGGAAACACTTAACTTGGTCCAAAATGGGAAACACAAGTAGGACCCACTTGGGTTTTCCACCTGGGATAGACATGGGCAAACACAGTAATTTAAGGATAGGCTGTTGTTGTGTGCCCCAGGTGGGGCAAAGTGAGGTAATCAATATATTTTTTAGCACTGATGACACAGGTGGGGCCCACCTAATCAAACTATATGGTTGTGGATGTGGATGGTTATAACCATCAGAGTACGAAGAAGCACCAAGCAATCACAGGGTACAAGAACTCCCCTTTAACAGGAAGAGATCTCAGGACATTTAGTTGGTTGAGGGTGAGGGAAAAGACAGAAACAAAGATGAGTGTAGCAATCAGTGTTGGTCAAGTTACTTGAAAAAAGTAATCAGTAACTAATTACTGATTACTTCCCCCAAAAGCAATCCCGTTACTTTACTGATTACTTATTGTCAAAAGTAATTAATTACTTAGATTTACAACCTGAATAGGTGATAAAGCGATAGATCTTTCAGCCCAATTCTACTTTTTCTGCATAATCCATCATACAAAATGTAATCAAATGGAAAAGTCTCTTTTTAAAACTTGTTTTATTAGTTTTAATCTTTAAAAAAAAATTAATTATATGCAACATTCTCTGACTGGAAGAAATTTGTTTAACATTTAAACCTATTTTCTGCACATTCCAGCACATAAAATAAAATATTTTTTGTGTTTACACTCACTCTTTAAAATAGATGCAAGTAAAACACAGCAGAAAATAAATAAAATCAAAGAC